AAAGGTTGAACTTCAGGGGTTCCTGTTTTGGTTAGGCCCCCAGAGCATCCTCGGCTTACCATCAGCACTGCAGATCCGACTGCAACATCTGGGGTGTGGGATGAGGAATGTGCTGGACTGGGGTAGGCAGCACCTCCACCTTCTCCCAAGCCTCCAGGGACTAAACATTTGCAGGGGTGATCAGCAAAGAACAGGCAGGCTCACAGTCTCCCCTGATCAGAGCTCCCTCTTAACTCCTGCAAGCAGGCGATCTGCTTGTTAACCATCAGCTCTGCAGGCAGGGAATTTACCGGGGCCGGGGCACCTACTTTTAACTCAGCTAATTTCCCCCACCACCACATGCAAACAGCTCACAGGTAAATCAACCCATCTCTGCAATTCCCGAGCAGCCCCCATTCCCCCGGCATGGGACCCACGTTCAGCTCGTGCTCTGAGCCTCGGGAACGCAAACGGGTCCAGAGATGTTACGCTGAGCCCTAGATGCACTGTGCCAGAAGTTGCAGGGTTTACTGCTCCCACCCGTGTGGGCATGCTGCTGCCCACGGGCAGTGCCCCTTGGCCCCTTGCAGTGCCCTTTGCAGCGCCAGCCGTGCTGGGATCCACCTGCAGGAATCCAGTGCATGGCTGAAACCTCAAAGGGACCTCAAAGCGACCTCAAAGTCCCTATGCGGGGACTTTGCTGCATCAGCCCCTCAGCAGCCCCTCAGTTGTTTCTTCACTGAGCTTTTTAAAAGGGGGTGACCTTGGTGCAGAGCCCGAGCTGCTCTTTGCGAGGTGCAAACCCATCCCTTCTCCAGCCGGCTGGTGCTGCGGAAGAGAGGGTTTAGAGCCCCAGCCTGTCCCATAATACTTACGCAGGAAGGAGGATCCAGCCAGGCTGCCCACTTTCCGCACGTCATTATCTGAAACGACAGTTAGAGGTGTATGAATTGCAGAGGAAGGGCTCCCGCCTGCCCCACACCCTGCAGCAGAGCCACCCCACCCCACGGCCAGCCCATTCTCCTGGCCACCAGCCAGCTTAGCCCCCGTGGAGGCTGCCGAAGCAAAGGCAGGGCTGGAGGGAGCCCACAGAGCCCTTACCTGAGGAGACGACAGCCATGATGGCAGGGACACCGTAGTAGGTGAATGCCCCGTTCTCAAACCGCAGTCCTTCCTTACCAACCTCCACCTCCACTTTCCCCTGGAAGGAGAAGGAAAACCTGCTCAGACAGGCACCCCGCACTCCTGGCCACCAACCCACCAGGGCTGCAGGGACGCCTGCCGCCCCATACGAGAAGATGGGCATCTCCGCTGGCAGAAGCAGCCCAGAGCAAGGCAGTGAGAAGACATGGGCCACCTCCTGCCACCCTCCGCTCGCCTCTGCCCCTGATACCTGCAGGATGAGGATGAAGTAGTCGACAGGGCGGTTGCGCTGGTAGAGGTAATGTTCCACTGCCTTCTTGTTCTTTCGGTCGTACTTGAGCTCCTGGATGACGTTGGGGTGTTTCAGGAGCCGCAGCAGGATCTTCTCGGAGAGGTAGGGGGACTTGAAAGGCTCCACTTCTAGAGGGGTGGCAACACACGCTTGCTCAGTGGGGCCAGGGCTGCCAGGAACCCCTTGTCCTCTGAGCTGCATGGCCTCAGCCTCAGCACCGTGCTGCACAGAGGGGAGCCAAACGCAGACCCGTGATGGTGGAGCAGCAGGATGCCCAGGGTGGGGGTCCAGACAGGTGGACACTGCTCGCTGTGTGGGGAACCTGACCCAGGAACAGCTCAGGGATGCCCTGCAGGGCCAGCACTGCTGCAGAGAGACGCAGGGCTTGCACGAGGGCAAGGGTACCTGTTGCCATGAACCGATGCGTAGCCAGGAGGAGCTGCGGGGAGATCTTCACCTTCATCTCGCTGTCCGAGAGCCTGAAGATGGAGAAGTCCTGGGGCTTGCGTCCCCGGTGGGGCACCCGTTCCTTCTTCCGACTGTCCGCTGCGGGGCAGAGAGCAGAGCGGTTGCCCACCTGCAGCAGCCACAAAGCCACTGCAGCTGCAGGGCGCCATACCGCATGCACACATATAGAGAGAGGCATGTCTTGCTGCACCCTATGGCAGGGCTGCTGTGGAGCAGCAGCTGGAGCAGCGCGGTGCACAAAACGTGCTGGGCTTCACAGCCTTGGGAGCAGCTCCCTGGGGAGGGAGCAGGGTGGTGAAACACGCTTCTTTCTCAGGAACAAGTCCTGGGTTGCCCTGGCTGGATGCATCACCCAGAGTTGGAAAGAAGCTTGGGAACCACCCATGGGCACTTCATGCCCAAGCCACATGTCCCTGGGTCAGGCCCTGCCCAGCCACCGGCTGCTGATGCTGGTGCTTCTCTATCTTGAGCATTCAAGACTCCCTGGCATCTGACCAGCATCTCTCCATCATTCTTGTCTTTCCCACCATGACTGTGAATTGCTCTGGGGAAGGACCACGATTTGCTCTGGCCTGTTTCCTACCCACATGTCTGTCTGTCTGTGCGGGTTCCCACCCTGGGTCCTGCAACCGCAGTAGCTGCTCTGGGACACTAACTGTACAGATCCGTCTCATCCAGGATCTCGGACTTGATGATCTCCTCAATGACATCCTCCAGGGTGACAATGCCCATCACCTCGTAGAACGGGTCTCCTTCCCCTTCGTTGTTCACTCGCTGCACGATGGCCAGATGGGACTTTCCTGCGGGGGGAGAGCAGAGCAGCAGTGAGACCCCCACCCGTGGCGAGAGGGGCCCCCAGCACGGTGGGCTGGCAGGCGGATGGGGCTCGGTGGGAGGCACAGATCACAGCCAAACCTCAGAAGCTGCCATTATCGCCCAAACCCACCCCAACTGCGCTAACCCAAGGAGAAGGGCTGCCACTCTCCAGGCTGATTTCTAGATGTCACAGGACTCTGCCTGGCTCTTTTTTGGGGCCACTTGTTTTCTTTACCCAGGCAATCTGCTACGAGTCACTCTCGTGCAGGACTGAAGTGTACATTATACCAGCTGCTTCTTGCTTACCCTCGGCTTCGTTGGCACAAGACAACTCTAACAGAGCAATGAGACAGCGTCCTCCAACACAGAAATGTGAGCGTGTCCTTGGGCTCTACTGGTTTCCCTCATCCTCCTGGTGTTTCTTCATTCTGTTGTTAATTATCTTTCCTATCAAATTGCCAGGAACAGCTCCCCCACATCTTTCTATCCATCACTGTCTGGACGGATCCTAAAGCTTTTCTTAAAATACGGGCAAAGCCTCCAGCTCCTTGGAACAGCAGCTGGTTTTAATGCAGAAAAGCGTATGTTTGTTTGCAGCTTTCAGCCCAGCTCCTGCAAAACTCTTGGGTGAACCATCTGGATGCAGAGGCTAAACACTTTTCAAGCCATCAGCTTGCATCTGAACGTCTTCTCCAAACCCTGCCCCTGACAGCACCTCCTCTCTGTTACCTTAAACAAGCAGACTGGGACCAGGACCCTCTTTCAGCCGCAATGATGGAAACTCCACAGTGTTTCTCAATCACAGTCTCAGCTTCCTCACTTGCCCCAGTAAGCTGGCAACTCTGCTGACACATTCTCAGGCTTCTTGCTTTTGGCATACTTGAAACATCGCTATTTGCTTTCACATGTCCAGCTCTCTGTAAGCTGTTTTGACTTGTTCAACTTCTCCCTTCCTTTACTGTCTGCTCTGATTTATGCTCCTGCTCAGCAGCTTGACCAGAACCCAACTTCCAAGCCACAAACAACTTCTGGGTTTCTAGCTCAGATGTATTCTTGGACCTGCCAACGAACAGCACTGGTTTTCTTACTGGCCCTGTGGCTCCTACACTGCCCAGCAGCACACACAGGTTCTGAACCTCTAGTTTTGCTTAAAACATTAAAAATGTCCTTCATCACACCACAGCAAACAACTTGCCCTCCCTCTGTTTCCTCTATTTCCCTGGTCTCCCTTTGCAATGCCTGCACAAACCCAACGTGTACCATGGGCACTGCAGGGACCTCCGGAAAGCTGCAAACACCTTATTTTCCCCATGGGCTTGGAGCTGAGGTCCTTGAAGAGCAATGGTCACCCAAAAGGGCAGCAGGTCCCTTCTGCTATGCAGCTGCCTCTGCATCTGCTCCTCCTGTAAAGCCTCCCCAACAGACTTGCCTGCTACTCTGGGCAAGGGGATGTGAACAGTATTTATGCATAAAGATGGAATACGGGTGGGCTCCTGCCTGCTGCACAGCTGCCTCCTCGCCCACTGGTGCCTTCTGGCTCATCCCCGCGGAGGGACAGGGACAAGCGCACCCAGGGCAGCCCAGCAGTCCCACCAAACACGTCTTGCTGGGGACCATGCGACCTTCAAATAACCCTGTCCTGGATCTGAGACGAGCAAATGATATTTCTCAGCCAAAGATCAGGACTATACATTTCTCACAGCAAAGCTTGGGCATTTTCCACAGTATAAATTCCCTCCTCCTCATACCAAGCTTTTATTGCAAGATTTCAGAGAGCAGCTCGCTGCCTCCCACGCCTACAGAATTAGAAACGAGAACATAACATCGCAGCAAGTAGCACTGACATGCACTTTAAAAAAACCAAATCAATAGCCTCAGGGCATTGAAAATTCAGAATGTTCTTTGGACTGGGCTATTTCACTCCTTTCTTACACAGGTTTGTGCATCTTGTCTCTTCAGTGGGTAATAAAGCAACACGACTTGAGACTTAAAAAGAAAAAAGCAGCAGTGTTGGCCACAAGACAGCAGCAACAGCTCCGTTTCATCTTAGCAAAGTCCAACTTTAGAAAATGACTCCTTTGCCAAACCTCGCTCCCAAACACTGGGGCCATCTGGTCTCCTACAAGTCCTTGGGTGAGCGAGGAGAGGGGAGAAGTTATTTCTTTTGGCTGAAAGCTTGTTGTTAATGACATTTACATGCAACCTAAAACCACCGAGCCCTTACAAGAAGCTTAGGTGCTACTTAAAGGCAGTCAGAGAGTAATGGAGGCAATTCTTTTTTTGGCCAAACACCTACATTGACGCTGTAATTTACTCTAGAGCAGGCTCAGAGAAATGTGATTCCAGCTCCATGTTCACATAGCAGCAAATTAGATTATTTAGAAATAACGCAGCACCGTTAGCCTGGGAGAAGACCCACGGTTTCACTGCGCTGGGGGCAGAGGCAGGAGGGCTGTTAGAGTGCTCAAGAGTTCTTTATTTTCACAGAAAATAAACACGTGTAGCTACACTATAAACCCCCAGGTTTAGGTTTCCAGGCTAACACCCACATTAGAGATGGAGCTGGTACCCAGCAATGGAAAATTGTTGCAATTCATGTGGTCGCTCCTGGCCCACACTGAGTGAGCCCCTGCCCGGCCAGCTGATACCCATACCACAAAAACACCCCAAAAACCACTCTCACCCTTCGCAGAGTTCGTGCAAATGACTGCTGCTCCCAGCTGGCCCCTGCTGGGAAAGGGATGACTTGCCCTGATCTCCCACCTGAGGGACATGAGATCGTTTACAAAGTCCTGCCCCCAACCCGGCTGGGTCCTGCGTCTCCTCCCAACACTTTTTTAACAGACCACATAAATTTGGCAGCAGGGGTAGTAGTAGGGGTTTGCAGGTGCCTTGGCTGTATGGCTGTGGCTTGTTCCCTCATGGGCTCGGGATGCTGCCAAGCTCAGCTGTATCCCCCTGCCTGGCCCTGGGAGCTGCTACACTTGCACAGAGAAAAAGCAGTGGCTCTTGGAGCAGGTATGAGGGCAGAAGTTGGGCAATTTTATGAGGTGGAAGCAATGTCCAAGGGAGGGTGGCACAGGGACAGACCTGGGGATATCAGAGGAGTTGCATTCTCTTCTGCAGCCGTTACCCTGCAGCTCTGCCTCAGTGGGAGTACAATAGAGGGAGATAAATCATTTAAACAAAATTGCAAACTTGATCTAAACCAGCTTTAAGATCTGTAAAACTGATTCCAAAAACCGTGCTATTGTAACTGTTGCTTGATAGCTCAAATGAAATGAATTATAAGGGCGAGCTGCTTCCCCACTAGCAAGCTGTCACATGTGAATTTTACAGGCCTATCACTGATGCAGGAAAGCACAGTGAAACACTTAAGAATCAAAGCCTTGGTTTGGCAAATGCTAGAACAAATGGGCAATTAACTTTACTTGCGTGAATAGCTTCACCAGCCTCCGCAGGACTGTTCTCGCACAGGAAGTCTATAGGTGATTAAGTGTCTGCTCAGCATGGGATACAACAGTACTGAATTCTTTATGAGCTACATGAAATCTACTCTTTTCAAACAACAGCTTCAGTGGAAAGTTAATGCCTCAAAATGTTAAATTACAGTGCTAATATAAACAGCTGAAGGCTTCTGGATGGAGCAAGCATCTGAACAGATATCTAAAGCTTTTATGCCCATTTTTAGGAGCCTTATTTTTCATAGGTACCTAAATGACCTTGGACTCATAGATCCACCACAAAGGATCTTCCCCGATGGGAGAACAGGGTCTGAACACATGGAAATGCCTTTACTTGTGGGAAAGTAAGTGCTGTTGGCTGCAAATATAGCCCAGACTACTTCCTTACCATTCTTTTATGTAGGTGCTCTGCCAGAGGAATGTTAAAGATGCTTTAGCCTTGTCTCTCGTTCCACGGGATGAGCATTCTGAGCATGAAATTTATTTCCATGAATTTTATGGTAAGATCTAAAGCTGTTACTAGGAGATCAAAGGTACAGGCACAAGCCATGAACCATTTACAGCTACAAAATGGAAGGCAAAAAAAAGAGTAATTGGTAAATAAGGTTGATTTGTGAAACAACCATGATGTAACTGAAATCTATTTCCTGTGTGCTTTTCATCAGAGCTCTTCTTTGGGCCAGGGGCTGCCAGCATCTCTGTGCCCCCCTGCAGACCTGCATCTGAAGTAAGTGGGGACCCTGATTTGAACTTCTTGAACTGGAAACATGTGTGTGAGCGTGCTCTTGTGTTACCATGACCTTGCACCGAGGCTGAAACCACATGCCTGAGCAGTTGCACCTAGAGGCAATGCACATCTACACCTAAACAGGGGGGAAATAACCAGGAGGGCTGCGGGGGCACCCAGCTTTATGGGGAATCAGAGCTATGTGAAGGGAAAACTGTAAATCCTAATCTAATACAGACCCTCCTCAGAGATGAGAACTTCATCTGCTTACATCTGTCTCTAGCAGAATACAAAAGCCTTTCTCACACTCTGCTTTGGTGCTTTTCCTACTCCTAAGGAAAACTGGGGTAAAGATGGAATATTTGGAATAGCTGATGTATTACCATTGATAAAACAGATCAGGAGGGTAAGGAGGAGATTAGAGGGGACACAGAGTCTCATCTTCTATCTGCTCCACAACAGGGTTCTGACCCCCTGGGTATGACCCTGCCTGCCCACAAATGGTAGTCCCCTTGCATGTTACTTCAAGCCTAAGGAAGCCTACAAGGATGCTGAGGCTTTCTGAAGCTAAATAAGTTCTAAAGAGCTGATGCAAAACTTTTTTCACTGGTGTCTGTAGCATAGGCCACTTTATTTTTTCCCACAGCTCAGTCTGAGGGTGCCTTTGACAGCTCCCAAGAGGGAGATGGCCAGCTGGGTGCCCTCTCCCCCACGGACACGGCTCCCCTCTTGCTTTGCTGAACACCTCCCTGGCGCAGGCTGCTCCTGGGCTTGCTGGGGTAGGGTAAAGCAG